CTTACTTTTTATAATTTTACTTGCGCGTTCCCAATCTCGTAAAATTTTATGAGCGCTGATGATGCTGAATCACACAAAACGCGCAAGCAGAACACCAATTAAAATTTCAAAATACAGTGACCGTTGTCATTTATTGGCCGTTGCTATTATTAAATTCGGTGGAAATTTTGCACATTTGACATAAATATACGTAGATATACGTAGTGCAAGAACACATAAAACTTTAATGTTAGTTCGCCTTATAACATTCATATCTGTGTCGCTAAGCCCTAAATGTATTACTGAAACTATTTCAGATCACTGACAGTTACATCTATTTCAGTAAATCTGTATTCACAAGATTGCCAAATTCTATAACATAAGTTTGCGTCCGTAAATTTCAAAATAAAATCTCAGCAGCGCTGCAAAGCAAGAAAAATTCCCCGTGAGTTTTTGCGCCGAGTGCTCGTTCAGCCCTATGCAACGTGACGTGGAAAAGTGAAAACGCCGACGTGCCCCGGCTTTCATGATATGAAACGGGAGCGTTAGCCGCTTTTCAATTATGTAACCTAATTTCCCGGCGTACATATCTTTGCGGCGCTATGAATGGAACTCGCCGGCGTAGCCTATCGGAATGGCAGCTTTCTCGCACGATAGTGCCAGCAACTCCAATGTTTATTATTTGCTTTTAAAAATGCGATTCGAATGTTTGCAATTTTTTTAAATCTGTAGAGCTTCGCTTAGAAGGTTTTATGAGAACTCACAGTATATTAAAACTATACCAATGGTGCGACTATAGCTCAGTCAACTTTCTTTAAAAGGCCAAGAGTATATGAAGCGTAATAGTTTTATTTACGAAGACTCTATTCATTTAATCTAGTTTGTCAGTAATATTTCCCATGGCCAATATATTCACGGCTACACTAAGCGACATTGCAGGACCGGAACGTGTCTTTAGGGAATAGCTTACCCCGGCCTAAATGGCTTTGGACACCTCTGACCTAGAGACTTGGTAAGATTGGCGGAGGAAGTCCTCAGAGAACACTGACCATTGCAATGTCTTGAACTCTGCCATTAATATAACATAATAATATGCAATGCCATGTTTTTGAGTAATATGAGGTAACTATTGTTCGATTGTTTGGAAGAAGGGGAAACTGGAAACGGGACAATTAAAAGCAAATTGGATTGCAATGTATTTTGACAGGTGATGTTGAAGTTATTTCCCCTCCCTAAGTGCGACAACGTGTTAACATAAACCCAGGTTGGATAGAAATCGTTAGCACGTTGTGTCACAATTCGTCAAATGTGATAAGATCTAAAGGCCGGAATTTACTAATAGTCGGCTTAATTTATTCGTGTCGGTGCCTCGGCAGTTAGCGAATAAAAATATACTTAAAAAAAAGCTTATATTGAAATGCTTTAGAATACGACTCTGGTTACGATTAGTTAGAAACGAAAAAAGTTTTACTCATTTACGATAATCTTACTATTCAATAATAAACCTTTAAGAGAAATCTGGTGAGTATAAATGTATTTTTCAAATGTCATAGTTATATCTCATTTAAACTTATCTTTCGTTAACGATCTCACACAGAAAACGGCAACGTACTCTGTAAATACGTCTCAGAGGTATCTTATTTGGCGTTCATAAGCTTCGTTTAGCCGCTATAAAAGGATAAACGCAGCCTCGTATAAGAACAAGTAAAGCAATTCATGTGTAATGTACATAAAAGAAAGGCTTTATTGCCAATCGTACAAAATCGCTAAGCTATTTGTAGTCAATAACAATTCCTCAGATTTATTAACAGCTATCGCGAAGTCAGTTCGTTACGTTTAAAAATAGACATTATTGCCCGGTTCAAGTTCCAATTTTACGACGAGTGAGCAATATTAAAACGACAAACGTGCCGACTGCCGATCGAACATAAGCCCAATTTTCGGAAAGCAATAAAGTACAATGAGGCAGAACACAGTTTGTGCGTGTACGAGGGGCCTGGCTACGATTCACGAACTCGCGCGCCGACGCCGGATGAATGTAGCATACTATAAAATGACTTGTAAATATTTTACACATGTAATTTACTTTTGTTTACTCTTTATAGGAATCTATAAGAATAGGGGTATCTAACGTCGGTGTGAGATGCTTGTTAGCATATTTCTGGCTGGAATTGTAATGTAACTAACATACTGCTGGTAAGTTATTAATATAAGTAATATTATAATGTAGGTATCACATTTTTAGATTTAGAACTATAAACAGAAAGCAACGGACGAAGGACGAAACATAGCGGACAAGAAAATCCTGTTATTATATTTGAAAAGAAAAAGTTTTAATGATCCAAAATAGATAACTATTAAAACTGTACAAAGTTATTTAAAGTTGTTCATATCATGCCCGAATACTTACAAAGTAATAAATAAAAATTGTAATCCCTATTCGTGTAGTGTTCATTTTATTGCGCCGTGAGGTGAGCAATAATCACTCAGGTAACTGTATTATTTTATATTTTGATAAAATATAAAAACGGGATAACGAATAAAGTTCGGGTTGGATCTACCTATAAACTGCTAGAAAAATTTGTAAGTTTGCGGGCCACAAAAGGTTTTTTCCTTGTCCTTAGAAAGTTTGACTTTCATGTTTCAATTTAAAATGAGTGAGGTGCTGTACTTCGGGTGGTGGTAGGAATGTATCTACGGCATGACCGTGGCGTGTAAGAGTACGACGGAATGACTTCCGCCGCGACAGGCGCGTCGCAATAGGCGGAACTATAACGCGGCTACCAAGCCACGGACGCATATTGCGATTGTTTGGCATCTTCGACTCTTGGCATCCAACCTCAACACAGCCGACCGACTGCTCTGTCAGCTTAAGCACTTTACCCCTATAATGTATGAATATTAACACACAAGTTCCGAAATGGAACCATTCAACTGTCTCCGCCTGACAAATGTTATTGGATTTAATTACAAGGGCTTCGATCGCGCTGTTTTAACAATACTCCGTGGGAACGTTTTGTTGTAGGTATGTTAAATTGATGTGATGTTTTACGCGGTGTTCATTTCGAGCCGTTTGTTGTGGGATTTTGGGCTGCAATAAACAAGTCGCTGGGGATCTTACGGCCGGCGTGGGAGGGAACCATTAATGTAATTAGTCATCCGCGTTGTAGCAACATGTACCGACCCATTAGTCAATATTGGCAACAGAGACAACACCAGTTGCAATGCATTAGGTATAGGTAAATGCTATTGTTTCTACAATTCATAGGAGTAAATGGGTGAAATGGTAATTAAATAAAATAACTTTACAAGGGAATGTAACTACGTAGTACGTTCCGTCCTAAAAACTTTTGTTCGTGTAATGTAATTAAAATCTGCGTCTAAATAAATCTGTCATTGATCACTGAATCTGCAGAGCTGCATTTAATAATATCCTGACGCATGTTAACTAACTTTACCAATATTTGGGAAAATCGAGAACTTTCATTTTTAAAGCGTGAAAGTCTTGAAACATTGATATCGGATATTCAATCATTCGCGCTTTAAGAGGCAAGTTAAGCTTCCCTTTTTGCAATTTCCAACGTTTCACGCTCACCGCCGTTTTCATGTTCAAGAGCCGGCATTTTTACGCCGTCTACCTTAATATTTGTTTTCAACCACTTAACGTAGGAACAGTTTAAATTGTGAGTTAGAGATGGAACATTACTTTGGTTCTAATCTTCTATTTATAAAGGTGGTTATTAAGTTAAATTTAAAAGGGTTATACATACTGACAGCTATTACTGTTGTGACCTTTCTGTTTTTAACATGACCCTTCCTATCGCTCGTCAATGTTAAAAATATCCCCAAGCGGCTATAAGGAGGGCTACATAATTTAGAACGACACTCGCCGATCGATGGCGAATCGGACACTCGAACGCCGTAAACTACGAGTAGTTATTAGACCTCTTTGGAATTATGCTAATTCAATTTCTCTAAGCACGCGACATAATAGGTAAAACGTGTCATTTATCTCTAATTTGGGCTCGATTTGGAACATCCCTTAATTAGTATCAAACAATAAAGGTTCCATTTTTTTTTAAGAAATGGCTACTAAATGTTTCAATTATTTTAGGCACGTACTGCAACTTTCTCGAATAAACGCTCTCTGCGAAAAAACGCTGAGTGACTTTGGTTCTGTGAATTTTAAAATGTTATCGTTTCCGACTCGACATATTCTTTAAATAACTATTATGAAGAGCGAGTTACTATTTTTGCAGTGAGGAACAGCTACGAGTACGTTACGTATAATTAGATGATCAAACGAACTTACCAAGTGAAGTTCGATCTGAATTATCCTGTTTTCGCCGAAGAGATTTATTTTACCGTGTAGTACCCCTGTACGACAAGCCAATCCGCACACAATATTCAGCGCAGTAGTAGTAAAANAGTGGAATATTGTTATTAGAAGTTTTTATTAGTAGATAAAAATTATTTTGTTTTGCAATTAAAAGTTAAAGCCTAACTTGTAATTGAGAGGGAGTGTTAGGATTATATTATCTTTGGAAGTGTATTAAATATTAAAAAGTTAACTGTTTCCGGTAGAACGCTCTTCCCTCTTCCGGCTATGTACGAACAAGATGTGTCTGTGTAAGAACCCGAATAATAAATGCTTATCTCGCTAACTATCGGTCTTTTCATTAAAGAAACACAAGTTCTGATATAAAATATATTTTAATTAAGAAAAAAATGAAAATGTGAAGGAAACAGGAGCAGCGACATCTAGAGCGTTTTAGGGTAGTTAAAAAGTATTTGAATTTATTCACCGATGTCGCTGTTTGGAAGCAAGTTTCACTTCGATGACCGTTGTATGGAAGTTTCCGCACCCTGGGGTTCTCTATTTCACTCTCTAATCTGTGTCTATCCTGCCTGATCCTTCAAAATTTTCGCTCTTCCCGGGTATTTTCCTTTAAAATCCGTTTCCCAACCTTTACACCCCGTCACCGTCATTGGCAAATGCACAAGCCGTGCGAGCCACAAAAAAAAAAAAAAAAAAAACTGTGTCTATTTCCGTATTACTTTTCTCTATGGGTGTTTCTTTCGTCGTGGTGTGTGAGGTTAGTTTTTTACCATGTGATCCAAATAATAATAAATAAGCCGAAATTATTTACATGCTAAAAAGAGAAATTACAGGATTATGAATGAAGTCTTGATCTTTTAAGTATTCTCTTTAGTTCTACTGTTTTCATCATTTAATTAGGCTTTAATAAACTATGCATAATTTAGGTATTTTTATTTGTTTGATTATTTGTTTATACTAAGCTATGCTATTAAATTATAAGCTTTTTTTATAATTATGTACTTCATCTTACAGTCGGATCTTACAGTATCTTGAAAATTTACTTTAAGATCTTTGTAGATGTTACTGCAATCTTGGATCAGAGGGTAAGCACCTTAATAATAGGGAAAATAAATTTTAAAAATAAAATGAGTACATAAACTCATTGGCAGTGCCCGCAAGCCGCACGCAACACATGACAATAATTTTAATAATTTTGTCTGTTTTTGCTACATTTTACTATTCTGCCTCTATTGGCTGTAGGGTCAAATCACAGAATATAGGGTGATGCAAGGAACTTGGGTGATGTCAGAGAGCCTAAAGCCTTTCTTGTTAAATGGGCTATCCTACATAAAAATAGTTTTTCAAATTGGACCAGTAGGTAGGGTAATTGCGCCGGTTTTCCGTCCAGCTCCTGTTTTCGTCCATTTGACCGACTTGCCACAAACATATACGGAAAATTAGAATACAAACCTAACTTTCCGTGCAAGTTTGGACTTGTTACAATCTATAATATCTAAGTAACAGTTCTGTCTGCATGAAAATGTAATTTGACAAGTAATAACTCCAAAAAAATCTACGGAAGTTGCTGCTGCACACAGGTGAATGGAAAACGTCGTCAAGTTAGAAAAAAAACGTGCCGGTAGGGAACTTTCATGGTATGTTTAATTACTGTTTTAGCTACTTTAATTTTGAAAAAATGTATACAAGGTGGAGATGACAATATCACAATACGAACATTGACTATTAAATATAAATTCTTGATAGCTAAACAATGTAGTTAAAAATAAAAATATATTTTTTTCCAAACAAATTCAGCCATAATCAGACACAAAATTAAGCAACAACACGGTTTTAAGTGACGAACATTATTCTTTGGCGCAATATTCCTTTAAAAATAATAACTGAAACAAGAAATCAGAAACTGTCAATGTATAGTAAAGACTTGATGAAACTGTCAATGTATAGTATAGACCTTTGACCCTTTTTTTATTATTTCATAAAATCCGTCTTCAGGTCGCCACAGAACAAGGCCTCGCGAAACTGTCTTGCACACATCAAATTTAGGTCTTGCCCCGCCTCTGATTTTTAATAATCATTTTACTTCAATGGACCTACAAAATACAATGTTTTTTCTTCCAATATGATCTTTATTGCTATTACATTAAACATTTTAGTTTACGTCCACTTTTTAACAGTGATAAACCCATAAAAACCGTTAAAAAGATGTGGACGAAAACAAAAAACAGCTTTAAACGTTGTTGTGTTTTCGTCCATGACGTCATGAGCAAGCACTGGGGTGGACGAAAACCAAAATTAGCTATTCCTGTAGATTAGTTTTCGTCCATTTAATTTATAGATAAGTAGTTTCTCACATGTTTCCAGAGCTTTTCCAGTAGACTATCTGACAAAGACGCGAGTCGCGAAAAGGGCCAGAAAAATTCTCTTCTCGCGCTCTCTCACGCCCTTATTAAAATTATAAACCCAAAGCCTGGCTTTTTTGTGTATTTTACATTGAAAATATAGCATATCAGTAAATGATTTGTGATAAAAAAAAATTATTTTTATTTAAATATTGTACAGATATGTGGCGCCTAAGTGAGGTCTAAAACCAACTTTTTTTTATAAATTCAGTGTCGATGCGGAGGCAGTTACTCTAAACCGAATTGATTAATATTTTGCATGACTTCATTTAAGCCCTAAAGGCACAAAATTTTGACTATTACATTACAGATATCTGAAAAAAAATTTTTCGCTCCACCCTAGCCTACATACAATAGGCTAGATGACAAAATTTCAATTATTTGTCCGTCATCAAGATAATTAGAAAATATTACTCTTATTTTTTATTTTCTTTCATAATTAAATAATAACAGTGCTACATCGAGTTGAAATGGCGCGTTACGTCACGCTTGAGTAGAATTTTTACTCAAAAGTGACGTCATGCGACATTTCAACTCAGTATAATCCCATCAAAAACAATACTTGTCAAAAAAACCAAGTCTCGCAACTCAGTTGTTCTACGGTAACAAGTTGTGAGATCCATGTAATACCAAGTCCAGGCCAGGAAATCTTTAACGTTTTACATAAATAAATTGACTTGGCCATCGCATGAAAACACGTGTAAATTAAATTATTTAGTGCGATGGCCAAGTCAATAATTTATGTAAAACGTTAAAGATTTCCTGGCCTGGACTTGGTATTACATGGATCTCACAACTTTTTACCGTAGAACAACTGAGTTGCGAGACTTGGTTTTTTTGACAAGTATTGTTTTTGATGGGATCTCATTTCTTTTTGTATTTTGTAGACAGCAGTTATGTATCTAGAAAACTGGACCGAAATTGAAAAATTTTACTCGACTTGGCGGTTGCACTACCGTGCCCCCAAATATTTTAGTTTTTCCTTGATTCATACACCAAACACTACTTATATTCCAAATTTGAAGCTTCTAGGTCTGCTAGAAGTGCCTTAGAGTTTTGATGATCGGTGAGTCAGTGAGTGAGTCAGTGAGTGAGTGAGTGAGTCAGTGAGTGACAAAATTAAGTAACTTTGACCCGTTATAATTCTTAAACTACTGGTTCAAATTGAATGAAATTTTAAATATACCGTGTCTTTACAATGCCTGCATAGCTAATGAAAATTCAGCCTTCTAATTTTATCCACAACGAAGTTACAGGCGGTCGAAAATGGCCTGAATTGCTTCGAGAAAAGGATGGTACGGCCGTGCCGCTTTTTTGCTCGACTTGGTGGGGGCACTGCCGTGCCCCCAGATACTGTAATCAAAATCAAATCAAACAATCATTTATTGTGTTAGTTATAGGTAATACAATAACACAGATCTTAAATGTTTACAACCGCTATAACCTGCCGATTGGGCGTACATATTATATTCATATGAATACAGTTACGTAGTTGTACTATTCAAGTAAGAAAAAAATTCAAAAATATGTGTCCAAAATTTTGTTATTATCCGTCTGACGGACTAAATAGAATTTCAATTTCATTACCCAGTCTTCATCCCTATTAAGAATTTTAATTAAAAAAAAAATACACGAAACGAGTGACAACCCTAAACATATTTATCCAGTTAACCAACAAACGTCGTCGTGTTATCAGGAACCCCTGCGTGAGGTCAACCGAGACAACATCAGCTAGAGAACTATATTTGGCACACAGTTCAACGCCGCAAGTTCAATTAAACAGACATGGCCGCCAATGGAAAGTTAGGTGAGTGAAATATGTCTTTTAATGGGTCATAACAGGCTATCTCAATTCCTATTTAACTTTGCTTGATTATGTTACGTCGTAAGCCTATAAAATCTCTACTGTATTGGTTTTACTGTAAGTATAAATTTAAAAAATAATAAAAAAATTGTTCTGCCCTCAAATCTAATCATAAAAGTACTAGTGTTGAACACTAAGTTGGTTCGATGGTTATTCTAAAAGTAAGTATCAATTTTAATACAAGAGCGATATTTGAAGAAAATTTAAAATAATGGAAAAATGCATTGCAGGCCCTTTCTTTTTCTATCAGGCTTCCTGAAAAACTAATATGGACGTGTGTTCACGACCCGTTTTCTACCCGGTCCGTCTATACACGCCCTTAAAATATTAATATTGAGATTGCAGAACCGAAAATTAACTTTTGATTACCTTTCCAGCTCTTCTTAGCGTATCAGACAAGACAGGCCTGGTGCCGCTTGCAAAGTGCCTGTCCGACATCGGCCTCGGTCTGGTGGGCAGCGGCGGCACTGCCACGGCTCTTCGCAATGCCGGGCTCAAAGTGCTCGACGTGTCGGACATCACTGGAGCCCCGGAAATGCTCGGTGGACGCGTCAAGTCGCTCCACCCTGCTGTGCATGGTGGAATCCTGGCCAGGTAATTTAAAAATAATATAAAAATATCGCTCATAAGAAGGCTCAAGGTCACCCAAAGAGCGATGGAGCGTGCTATGCTCGGAGTTTCCCTGCGTGATCGAATCAGAAATGAGGAGATCCGTAGGAGAACCAGAGTGACTGACATAGCCCGCAGAATCGCTAAAATCAAGTGGCAGTGGGCGGGGCACATAGCTCGGAGGGCTGATGGCCGCTGGGGCTAACAATATATTTATAGCACAGCTGGAGCTGAAAAGTTCTCAAGTGGCAACCACGAACCGGAAAACGTATTGTGGGCAGGCCTCCCCACTAGGTGGACCGACGATCTGGTGAAGGTCCCGAGGGGTGCCTGGATGCGGGCGGCGCAGGACCGGTCTTTATGGAAAACCTTGGGGGAGGCCTTTATCCAGACGTCTTTCGGCTGAAACGAACGAATGAACGATATTTATAAGCCTTCTAACTAATAGTTCGTTCGTTGGTTTCAACGAAAGGCCTCCTTTAAGCATTTCCACAATGACCCGACCTGCGCTGCCCGCATCTAGGTGCTTCCTACGACCTTTATTACATAATAGTTTTTGTCATGTGATTGTACTATAAACAACTCAAGTTTGTAATGTTAATGAACACTGTTGGTAACTGGTTGTTTTTAAGGTAGGTATCTTCCACACAAAATACAGATAAACTTACTACATATCAAGTTAATAACAAACAAATGACGTCCCGGACAGATAAATTTATCGTACGATTTTCATCATTATCATTAAAGTATTGAAGATTTGTTTTTAGGTATTTATTTATTGTTTGTTACATATACTTTATTATTTCACGAATGCTTCAATTTTTTTTCCAATTCCTTGATTAATGCTTCAATCACACCAACACGTGCAGATCGCCATCACAGGCGCGATCATAGACCAATGACAGGTCAGATGAGCCTAGAGTTGAAGCTTAAAGCCATATTTACCCACCATCCTGAACAAAATGCTATTCTCTTTGGTACTATGGTACTTTGGTACTATGGCAGACAGGTGATGACATCACTTTACTTTGTTCTCAGGCTTACAGACTCCGACCAGGCTGATATGAAGCGTCAAAAATTCGACATGATAAGCGTGGTAGTCTGCAACCTGTACCCATTCGTGCAGACGGTATCCAAGCCCGACGTGACCATAGCTGATGCTGTAGAGAATATCGATATCGGAGGAGTGACGCTCCTCCGGGCAGCTGCCAAGAATCATGATAGAGTGACCATAGTGTGCGACCCTGCCGACTATGACAAGGTCATTCAGGAGCTGAAGGAAACTCCTGATCATCAGACTTCTTTAGAGACAAGGTTAGTTGTTGTGTATAAGCAGGACAAAGGTGGTTCGTCCAGACGGTATCCAAGCCCGACGTGACCATAGCTGATGCTGTAAAGAACATCGACATTGGAGGAGTGACGCTCCTCCGGGCAGCTGCCAAGAATCATGATAGAGTGACCATAGTGTGCGACCCTGCCGACTATGACAAGGTCATTCAGGAGCTGAAGGAAACTCCTGACCATCAGACTTCTTTGGAGACAAGGTTAGTTGTTGTGTATAAGCAGGACAAAGGTGGTTCGTCCAGACGGTATCCAAGCCCGACGTGACCATAGCTGATGCTGTAAAGAACATCGACATTGGAGGAGTGACGCTCCTCCGGGCAGCTGCCAAGAATCATGATAGAGTGACCATACTGTGCGACCCTGCCGACTATGACAAGGTCATTCAGGAGCTGAAGGAAACTCCTTATCATCAGACTTCGTTGGAGACAAGGTTAGTTGTTGTGTCTAAGCAGGACAAAGGTGGTTCGTTCATACAGTTCCCAAAGCCGACGTGACCATAGCTGATGCTGTAGAGAACATCGACATTGGAGGAGTGACACTCCTCCGGGCAGCTGCCAAGAATCATGATAGAGTGACCATAGTGTGCGACCCTGCTGACTATGACAAGGTCATTCAGGAGCTGAAGGGAACTCCTGATCATCAGACATCGTTGGAGACGAGGTTAGTTGTTGTGTATAAGCAGGACAAAGGTGGTTCGTTCAGACAGTTCCCAAAGCCAACGTGACCATAGCTGATGCTGTAGACAACATCGACATTGGAGGAGTGACGCTCCTCCGGGCAGCTGCTAAGAACCACGACAGAGTGACCATAGTGTGCGACCCTGCCGACTATGACAAGGTCATTCAGGAGCTGAAGGGAACTCCTGATCATCAGACTTCGTTGGAGACAAGGTGAGCTGTTGTGTCTAAGCAGGACAAAGGTGGTTCGTTCAGACAGTTCCCAAAGCCAACGTGACGATAGCTGATGCTGTAGAGAACATCGATATCGGGAGGAGTGACGCTCCTCCGGGCAGCTGCCAAGAATCATGATAGAGTGACCATAGTGTGCGACCCTGCCGACTATGACAAGGTCATTCAGGAGCTGAAGGAAACTCCTGATCATCAGACTTCGTTGGAGACAAGGTGAGCTGTTGTGTCTAAGCAGGACAGAGGTGGTAGGCACCCGTATCCATTAATAGATCACAGACGGTATCCAAGCCCGACGTGACCATAGCTGATGCTGTAGAGCCATCGACATCGGAGGAGTGACGCTCCTATACCTGTTTATATGACAAAAAGGTAATTTCCCGTGACGTCGTCTACGTAGATTTCAATACGCACTTACAATTTTACTACAGATATACAAATTGTGTCGGTAATTTGATCAAAACCGCAAACTTAGGAAAGTTTCAACAGCATAATAAGTGAAAGTCGACTGATAATGTTACCATTTCGCTGTATGATGTAGAACAGTGTTATTCAACCTGTGGGTCGCGACCCCCACAGTAAGGGGGTCGCGCAGCCTCTATGTATAAAGGGGTCGCGAGAGGTCGTAAAAATTACCTCAGTAAAAAAACAGTAAAGTTTGATAGATTTCGAAATCGAATGAAAAAAAAGCAAACCGTCGCAAAATATTTTTTTATGCTAGGGTCTCTGAAAAACATCAATCTTTTAAACTGCGATCTCCAACCCGCCTGCCAAGCGTGGAGATTATGGCAAATCCCTCCAGTATAGTGGAGGAGGCTCATAGTCCAGCAGTGGACTGTAAAGGGCTGTTGATGATGATGATGACTAGGGGGGTCGGGACAGATATCCCATACCCTTAGGCCGTTTCCTGACTTGTCGGTGCTGTAGTGGCGCGGCATCGGTATGCTCTGTATACGCGGTACCGAAAGCTTACCGAGTGCCTATATTTCAATGGAGCGTTCCTTGGCCTTATCGTGCAAAATCGACAAAATACCTACCCTTGATTCATCAAAAAATACTATAGTATTTACAAGAACTATGTTATGTAACCAATAAACTCTTTTTTGTAGACAAAGGCTGGCATTGAAGGCGTTCACGCACACGTCGGAATACGACCTGGCTATCTCGGACTACTTCCGCAAGCAGTATTCCGCCGGCCAGGCGCAACTGACCCTGAGATACGGTGAGTAATGAGGATAATGCACTGTGACGATAAAAGTTGACTATAACAATGCATAGGTATCCTTGGACGATTGATATGCATCGATTGTTTGAAAGGGTTTTGGCTTATCAGCCTATCGGCTAGCATATTTTTCCTGTAAAATCTTTTGTGATTTTCAAATCTCTAGAAGGGTTCCGAAGAATATACACGACATTATTTTGGACGACCGGTCCGCGAAAAAGACTAATGTGCCTCCTAGACAAGTAGCAAAACGTGTAAGTTGTAATTTCGAAAGGCCATCCCTCTAGCGTTTTCTGTGTGGGTTTTCTGTATGGAGTTACTTCGTTCCGTGAAGGGATTCGATTTACAGAGCGACCAAAAAAGCCACTTGTCTACGGCCCCAGTTTTTTTATACTTAATCCATTACAATTTCCTTGAATCAACACACACATGATAATATTATCTTGTCTCTCAACAGAAACTATCTTTTCAGAAAATCTACAACCACCTTATTGTAGCTTAAATCACTATACTGTATTTTACCAGGTATGAACCCCCACCAAAAGCCAGCCCAAGTGTTCACGACCCGCGACCGTCTTCCCCTGACTACCCTCAACGGATCTCCCGGCTTCATCAACCTGTGTGACGCTCTGAACGCGTGGCAACTGGTCAAGGAGCTGAAGGAAGCCTTGGGCCTGCCCGCTGCCACCAGTTTCAAACACGTTTCACCGGCCGGCGCTGCAGTCGGTCTGCCTTTGACTGAGGAAGAGGTAAGAAAAGTTTTAATGTCATTATCAATAGATCAGGCCTGCATAAAAATACAAAAAGTTATCCAAAAGTTCTTTGTGTATGATCCATAAAGTTAATATACCTTGCGGAATATTAACTTTAGGGTATGATCTTACAGTAAACTCAGTTCCCTTCGTATTATAAGTACAAAGTAGCAAATGCTAATAACGTTGAGATTGACATATTTTATTTGCTTACCTACTGTCTCAGTCTGGATAGCTGATTCAGCAAAAGTGCTCCAAAAAGTAACATAACCCGTTTTCGATTAACATCGTTGGTTTACAACATTAATGCAAATTTTTTAAACTGTTTAACCTTTCAAGTGCCTTAGCAACGAATGCAATGATCAAGACACGACAACTACTTTCGTATCTGGAATCTCAGCATTCGGTCGGTTAAGAAGCGATACGGGCTTATCCCTAATTTCACCGATTGTAGGTTTTCAATTTTCAAATGTTTTCTACAGGCTTCAGTCTGTATGGTAGCTGACTTACTTCCCAAGTTGACGCCTGTAGCGTGCGCATACGCAAGAGCGCGCGGCGCCGACCGCATGAGTTCTTTCGGCGACTTCATCGCTCTCTCGGACGTGTGTGACGAAATCACCGCCAGGATCATATCCAGGGAAGTCTCTGATGGCATCGTGGCGCCCGGGTACACGGCCGAAGCGATGGAACTGCTGAAGAAGAAGAAGGGAGGCAGCTACTGTGTGTTACAGGTAATTTTGGTTGACTGTTTCACTATTTTTAGTTACAAAACCGTACTTACTATCCAGCGCCGGATGACTTCTGTGGCTCAATCCGTTTCGTCTGATGACTTAAGCTACGGCTTAACACGCCCTCTAAAGCACGGAACCACTTTTTGGATAGGTTAATATAATAACCAAACTGGAAACAAATTTTGATTCGCTCTTCAATCAAATCCTGAATCCCGTGGCGTAACTATAGGGTGGCAGGACTGGCAAAATGGGGGCCACGGGCCCTTATTGCGAAAAATAACCCTAGATACATCAAGGGCCCCATGCATATACGTGGCATAGCATTTGCCACGGGCTTCGCATGGTATAGTTACGCCACTGCCTGAATCAAATATAGAGCTGTGTTGTGACACATTTCAACAATATTATTTAATTTCTGATTATTATGTGGGTTAATTACAAAAAGTATTAACCCAATTTGTGTTTTTAAATTGGACGTTGCATTTAGAAGTGGTGTGATTACAAATAATGATCATTTTATATTTTGTCTATTTATCTTGTAGTTAGATAAATGTAGTTTTAGGATAAATGATCAACAGCATTATATTCCAGATGGACCCATCCTACGAGCCGGACCTGATTGAAAAGAAGACGATCTTCGGCCTCACTCTGGAGCAGAGACGCAACGACGCCAAGATCACGAAGGACCTTTTCAGCAACGTCGTGACCAGCAAGAAGAGTTTGCCAGACAACGCGACTAGAGATCTCATTGTTGCGACGATTGCTCTCAAATACACGCAGAGTAACTCAGTCTGCTATGCTAGGGATGGACAGGTGAGTTTATAATGTGGTTCACAAAGCGGATTCAGATTTTGTATGATATTTACGTTGTATTTTGTATGATATTTACGTTGTATTTTGTATGATATTTGTATGTTGCTGTCGCGCTCGCACACTCACTGCGGGCGCGCGTCGCACAGTTGCGACTGCAATATAATTACGCGCGAGCGATAAGGATGGGTAGCTTGGGGTCATTGGACAAAATTCTACGTGCTCACGGACCAGGCTTCATTTGCCAGAGGTAAATTGAGTACTAGCTGCAGCAAAATCTATCACGAATAGACAAAATCCTTTATAAAAATACTCTCGTAATTTGCGGTAAAAAAAATATAATAATGGAATAAAAAATATTTTTTAAAGAACCGTGGACCTAGCCACTCAGATCTTTGCTTGACGTCAGTCGTGCGTTTGCACTTTGCAGCGCAGCTTTTGGCAAACGGACGGCTGAAGTCTTGTTTTTTTTTTTTTAATAGAGCCTATTTGTGTATTAATCTTGCGTTGTGTATTACAAAGCTATTATTATAACACAGGTGATCGGTATCGGCGCGGGCCAACAATCTCGCATCCACTGCACGCGACTGGCAGGCGGCAAGGCAGCGCTCTGGTGGATGAGACGCCACCCGCGCGTATTAGCGCTGAAACCACGCGCTGGTGTATCTCGCGCGATGGTGTCCAACGGAGTCGACAACTACGTCAACGGCACTGTGGGTACGTGAGACTGTACTATACAAGTCCAGGATACACTGTATGACTGGCAGGCGTCAAGGCGGCGCTCTGGTGGATGAGACGCCACCCGCGCGTATTAGCGCTGAAACCCCGCGCTGGTGTATCTCGCGCGATGGTGTCCAATGGAGTCGACAACTACGTGAACGGCACTGTGGGTACGTAAGACAGTACTATACAAGTCCAGGATACACTGCATGACTAGCAGGCGTCAAGGCAGCGCTCTGGTGGATGAGACGCCACCCGCGCGTATTAGCGCTGAAACCACGCGCTGGTGTATCTCGCGCGATGGTGTCCAACGGAGTCGACAACTACGTCAACGGCACTGTGGGTACGTGAGACAGTAATGCACAGGTCCAGGATACACGCTGTCTACATAGGTTTAGGATACACTATACGCGGCTGGCAGGCAGCAAGGTGGATGAGACGCCACCCAAGCGTATTAGCGCTGAAACCACGCGCTGGTGTATCTCGCGCGATGGTGTCCAACGGAGTCGACAACTACGTCAACGGCACTGTGGGTACGTGAGACAGTACTATACAAGTCCAGGATACACTGTATGACTAGCAGGCGTCAAGGCGGCGCTCTGGTGGATGAGACGCCACCCGCGCGTATTAGCGCTGAAGCCTCGCGCCGGTGTATCTCGCGCGATGGTGTCCAATGGAGTCGACAACTACGTCAACGGCACTGTGGGTACGTGAAACTGTACTGCACAAGGCCAGGGTCTATTATAGAACTCCAGCCGTAACCTAGTTCCTATTGGAGGCAGCTAGCAGGCGTCTCGCGTGCGCTGATGTCTTCGACAAATATATCACTGGCACTTTTATGGGTACGTGCACTGTCTCCTACATAGGTTCAGGGTACACTACACGTGGCTGGCAGGCAGCAAGGTGGATAAAGCGCTACCCTTGTGTACCAGCGCTGAAGCCACGCGTTGGTTTCTCCCGCGCGATGGTATCCAATGGAGTCGACAATTACGTCAACGGCACCGTGGCTATATGTGTTGTACTTGTCTACCACACAGGTCCAGGGTTCATTGCACAGATCCAGGGTACACTGCACAGGTCCAGCCGTAGATCCCATACATGCAGCAGACCGGTGTTAAATCAATCCTTACAGCATGTTTTACTACTTTGTAATATCTCAAAGCCTGTCTTTGTTATATTAAAAACTTCCTGTAATGCACATAATTTATGAATTGAAATTCCTCCAGGTACCGATCTGCCCCTGGATCAGTTCAACGCCTTATTCGAGAACCCGCCGGCGCCGTTAACGGAGCAAGAGCGTAATGACTGGGTACAAAAGATGGACCGCGTGGCGCTCGCGTCTGATGCCTTCTTCCCATTCCGGGATAACATTGACAGAGCTGTGCAGGTCAGTATTGTGCAGCTAACAGATGATAAAGTTAGATATTTCGTTTATTATAAAGACTAGTGTCGTAACTAACATTTTATGTGCACCGTGCCAGCACTGCCAGCTTCTATAGCGCTCTTAAAAATGTTGACATCGTCAGGACGTCATTTCTACGATCTGCGCCTTGTAAACGAGAACCACTTACGCCGCCATAGTTACAGCGCAGTTATGACATCAGTTGACATTCAAAGGGGTGCGCACTTTTCCCGTTAACTTTTAGGAGTAGCTTAGGTTCACCATAATAATCCAGAAGACGATGACCTTAGGGGCCGTCCATAAATTACGTCATCAATTTTTTCAGATTTTAGACCCCCCCCCTACAATCATCCTATCGTCATTTCTTAATGACCCCCCCCCCCCCTTCTCCCAAAATTGACGTCATTACCAGTTTGACAAAATTAAAACATTGCAGATTTGAGAAAAATAGGGTATTATATGATTAAAACACTTGGTTATAGAATTACCTTTTTTTTTTGTATGTTTATTATGAGTTATTTTAGTATTTTACGCGCCTTAGCCGCCTCTCACATTTGCAGTCTCACTTACTGGAAGAAATTTCTTTTTAGAAATAATCTTTTTGTACGTGAACAATAAATAAATAAATAAGAATGACGTCAATTTCGAAACTCCCCCCCCATCTATCATTTACCGTCATCCTCAGACCCCCCCCCCTCCTAATTTAGAATGACGTAATATATGGACGGCCCCTTATCAAATGTATTATAGGCGAAAGAAGGATTTGGCATACACTCCCTACGCTGGCCAGACGGGCCAGAGGTTCACGTAACTATCTCTATAATTACGATATCTGCTGGAAGTGTGGGAGTGGTCCTATTCTACTGTGTCGGAACCATTACACTACAAAAGCAAGCAATATGAAACTTAACCATAAAAAATAGTCTACAATCATAAGTTAGGTAGTTATCAAACGAAAATTATTCAATAAATATTAATAAATAATGTCTTTCCAACAGTGCGGTGTGGAATACATCGGCAGCCCGGCCGGTTCGAACAACGACAAGGAAGTGATCGACGCGTGCAACGAACACAAGATCACACTTGCGCACACCAATCTGCGATTGTTCCACCATTAACATGTTTATTGCCATGATCCGCCCAAGTGTCAAAACGTGACAGCTGTAATTTCGAAATCCCATCGCTTTGGCGTTTTCATCATCATCATCATCTTAGCCATAGGACGTCCACTGCTGAACATAAGCCTCCCCCAATGTATTCCATGTTGCCGGTTGGTAGCGGCCTGCGTCCAACGCCTTCCTGCTACCTTACCGATGTTTTATAAAGTACATAGTTACTTCGAAGGGATTTCGAAATTACAACTGTCATAAATATTTTTTATGTTTAATTTCTACATCACCAACTCCAGCGCTTTTCATGTGCTTATTCCGTAAAGTGATCCTGAAATTATTCTGTCACGATTATTACTATGTTTAGGATTGTAATAATAACTATAAGTACAGACATACCTAGGATAATGCCTTTGGATATTTGGGCAACTAAAAAGACACTTGTCGTGGTGACTCAATAAGTAGATAGTTTCTATTGGTTGTTTTTATTGTGTTAAATTATAATTATAAGTTCACTCCGGCACATCATCTGCCATAATTATGATGAACTTTATATCTTTTGTTATTAGGTTTAAAATTTAAAGATATACTTTTTCACTTTGTCGGAGGTTAAGGCGAAATCTTGTATCGTTCTTTATAACGAAGGAATCCGTGCCATCACAGCAAGCCAAGCGAATTTGTTCTATCCCGGATGCTGTGACATGTTTAAGATATTTTTTTTAAATACAACAAAGATATCTGAAAACCTTCTCGAATTACAATCTCATATCTATTAAGAGTTATTTTATATAATTAATGAACTTTATACATTTTATACGTATATTTTTATAGTAAAGCTAGCAAGTGACTTGCATATTTTATACATGTGTTGTCACATGCACTATCTTACAAAACGACGATTTTTTGATTGAACAGAAACTATAGGTACTGAATTTTCATTCAAGGTTAAGCGTCATTTAGTAACCAGTCTTCCAATAAAGCTAACATTCCATACCTAAAATTAAAAACTTTATGAAAGTTTAATACTTCATGTTATAAACATGACATATTTTATACGTATAAAAACATTCTAATACGTAATTACGTGCTATCTATAAGATGAACTATTTTGGAAATGTATAATTGTTGATGTTGATTGTTGTTTACACAGTGCCTTATTGTTAAGATTGAATTAAAGTATTTTGAAAATATACATTTCTTTGTAACCTTAACACGTGTTTTATTTATGTAAAAAATAAATGAGTATTTCACAGTATCGAGACTTCAGGGAGTTCATAGTTTCTGATAACACATTATTTTTTATAATTTTAAATCGATTATAGCAAAAAACATAACCCTCCTTCTGGCGCAGTCGGGTAATAAGCGTTTATACGTCCCACTGGGGCACTTCTAGCTTTACCCCAACTGCTGTACATAACATACATATTAATTAAATGATACGCAGCTATTTTACAGAAATTATGAATAGGTAAAGTCCGGCTATTAAAATAACAATATTAAATAAATGCATGCCCGTACACATAATTAACCCCTAATCCCTAATGAGATAAAGCCTAAGAGAAACTCTGAGAAGCTTATCTTGTGGTTTACTGTACTTGTACTGCATCCTTAGATTAATAAAAGCACTGCATCATTCAGAAGGTGGTGTACTAAATACTTATTTTAGTTATAATTATGTACCTACTTATACCAAAATTTTAAATAAATAAAAATTATAATAAAAATAAACTTTTTTAAAAACAAGCTTTTATTCTGAATTTCGAAAGTTTGTATCGCGCATGGAATTTATTCCTCTTTTTCTCTGTTTGCGCTACAAGCTTTCGAAATTCAGAATAAAAGCTTGTTTTTAAAAAAGTTTATTTTTATTATAATTTTATTTTACACTTTTTAGTTATATCTTAATCTCAGGACCCTGGACGTTATCTAACACTAAAGTGCTCGAAAAGACAAATCCAACGAACCCAAACTCGATGAGTTTCCGCCGTTTTGTTTAGGAGTTCCTATGGCCACCTCCCGACTCCATCATCAGACCAGCTCAATGGTACCATAATATTGCATTGTCATCGGACTTACACATGTATGCAAAATTTCAGCTCAATAGGAAACCGGGAAGTGGGTCAATTTTAAGTTGCAAGATTTGACGACAGACACCAGACATGTGAAAGTAATAAAAAGCTTGTAAAAAAGAAAGTAATAAAAAGCTTGTAAAAAAAAAGCTTGTAAAAAAATAAAAAGCTTGTAATAATATTAAATATCAATTAGAAATCTAATTAACTACCTACCTACAAATTAATAACTGCCCGTCCGTCATTCATAAGATCTTGTTTCTCGTTTATTTGTAAACGGCATAAATACCTACTCGGATTCGGGACTTTTCGTGACTCATGTATATCACGTGGTACATGGTTCTTCCCCGGGCTGGCAAATATTGCGTCATTCATTGCATTGGAACTGTCAATACGATAAAAATGTTGCCTAGTGTCTACGAATTACCCTAAAAATAGGGTATTTTACAAACAATTTTTTCTAAGTTATCTTACAAAATATTCGAATCAATACGCAAATAGAAGCCTCAAAAGTCAAAATATGGAAGATATGTATGCCTAAAATCACGAATAAAGTCCAAACTCAATATATTGTTTTAATTGTTTATTCCATCATTGTAAAGTGAACCGAACAGAACTACTATGAATTTGTGATAGTGTTAGACTATAGACGTGATCAATATTGTGTTGAAAACCAATAAGTTCATTTAGAACAAAATTATTGTGATTCTGTATGCTCCGGAATCCTTTGTTCAACACAGGAAATTCCCTATTTTAGGGTAAAGTGAAAAAAGACACAGCAATACTTATCATGGCTGCATGTTGCAGAATTTTCAAAACAAATGTCAAGTTTGTCGGACAACGAAGTGGTGTCCGCTTGCTCTGTGATTTTTATTTTAAGCATTTACAAGAAAAGTGTTAATAGTGCAAATTAATCGTAGACACAGTGACTTATGAATAATTAAAAGTGGTGAAGTGTTAAAGTTTGTTGAAGAATTTAATTATTATGCTGAATTGCATTTGCTGATTAGAAAACAGGAAAAATGTTATCGGCGACGTCTAGCGATACGGAAGCTTCGAACATGGGGTCTCCACGGTCTCACATGGGGTCACCTTACAGCTCGCCTTCACAGCAAGTGCCCCAGCTAGCATACTCAATGACCGAGCTGACTTGTGCTGATAAAAAATACATTCATGACAACGAGTTTGTTGGTGCAAGTGCGTTTCATTTTTTATTTTGTTTTTTATATTTAAACATTCAAACCAGATCGCTTTCATTAGATATAACATAACAATACAAACAACGCTATCTAAGTAGTCCGGGGCCTTGAATAAAAACATTGTATGTTATACACTAAGTTTCATACATTTTGTAGAGTCCTACACACCTCTCAACGAGTTGAATACAGTTAGTAACTAACTGGATTTGAAGATAACATATTTGATTGTTTTGCTGATTATTTTGTCAACAATTAAACTTTTCTTTCCCTTTTTAAACTAAACTAGGGTTATGTTCCGTTATACCACTGCAAGCACTGAGTAATTATTGTAATCAGTGGCGGATTAACGTATAAGCACTACAAGCACGTGCTTGGGGCCCCTGTTCTCCAGGGGCCTCCATCCTCTGCTGGCGCGCCAGCAGAGGATGGAGGCGTTTCATTTCATACCTACATTTTATAGAGATTTAGCCTATGTTACTCGTAAGTAATGTAGCTTTCAAATGGTGAAAGAATTTTTAAAAACGGTCCAGTAGTTTTTGAGCCTATTCATTACAACCAAACAAAGTTTTCCTCTTTATAATATTATAGTGTAGATAAAGTAAAGCGCGTTTTCCCAAATATACAAGTGGCGTTTAAAGAAAGAAAGAAAGAAAAATTTATTACGATGAACATCACATACTGTAACGTTGCCGTTTGCTGTTTTTTCACAAATTAATATTTCTTCTCAATATTCTGATTTTGGATACCACTAGCGACATCTATTGGCGTGATTTCGAATTAATTTGCAATAGATGGCGCTTTTTGCTCAGTTAATTGAAATATACTTTGATGAAACATTTCCTAGTGTTTTTATATTGATTATTCTATTTTTCAAATAGAATATTTTCAGTGTTCTGGAAATTGTTTTCATCATGGTTTTATTAGTACAGTATTTACTTTTTCAAACGGCGAAACGAAACGTATCGCGATGTCTATGACAGAGCGGCTGTCAGTGGAGCTGTCAAATCACTTAGGAATTGTCGATCGTGCGCAACCGCAATTTGATTATTTTCGGGAATGTAATTCCTTTTATTTCAAATCGGGTGGTGCAAAATGCATCCACGATAATTTCTTGATGAATAAATAAAAATAACACACATGAGGTAAGTTCCCGTCGGAGAATTTATTTATTTTTCGTGATTGATATTTTTCGTATTCCAGTACGTGGTATTTTATGTGATCGTTTCTTTCAGAGATTCCCTAAATCCTATTCGGATGAGGGTGGGTTGCTGAAAACTGCGAGTGAAGCTTAAATTAGCGAACAGTTTTCGTAAGTATTTTTGTTTCCCATTGCGGTTTTTTTTCATAACCTAATGCCACGTTCCACATGTGATGCTGACGCTGGTATTTTTCGTTTCAGATGCGGGATTTCATATTTATATTCTGATTTTGGATACCACTAGCGACATCTATTGGCGTGATTTAGAATTAATTTGCAATAGATGGCGCTTTTTGCTCAGTTAATTGAAATATACTTTGATGAAACATTTCCTAGTGTTTTTATATTGATTATTCTATTTTTCAAATAGAATATTTTCAGTGTTCTGGAAATTGTTTTCATCATGGTTTTATTAGTACAGTATTTACTTTTTCAAACGGCGAAACGAAACGTATCGCGATGTCTATGACAGAGCGGCTGTCAGTGGAGCTGTCAAATCACTTAGGAATTTGTCGATCGTGCGCAACCGCAATTTGATTATTTTCGGGAATGTAATTCCTTTTATTTCAAATCGGGTGGTGCAAAATGCATCCACGATAATTTCTTGATGAATAAATAAAAATAACACACATGAGGTAAGTTCCCGTCGGAGAATTTATTTATTTTTCGTGATTGATATTTTTCGTATTCCAGTACGTGGTTATTTCATGTGATCGTTTCTTTCAGAGATTCCCTAAATCCTATTCGGATGAGGGTATTGGGTTGCTGAAGACTGTGAGTGAAGCTTAAATTAGCGAACAGTCTTCGTAAGTATTTCTTTCCCATTGCGGTTTTTTTCATAACCTAATGCCACGTTCCACATGTGATGCTGACACTGGTATTTTTCGTTTCAGATGCGGGATTTCATATTTTACGATTTTACATTTCATATTTTAGATATTTCAATATTTCATATTGATTTCTATAATTATTACTCCTTTCTGACCTGCTGATCTCTTCGCATTTCCTCCTTGTCATCAAACCTCTGTCTCTGCAAGAGTTTGTGAACGCTTTCCTGCCGAGGAGATGCAAGAGTTTCATCTGGCACTGTGCGCT